GAAGCCAAATCCCTGAATGCGCAACACCTGCTGAAGCAGCAAAAACCCAAACTGCCCAAGCATGCTAACCCCTTCAAGACAGGGCCCTGTACCCCAAGAAAAGGTCCGCAAAGTCCAAAGCCGCCAACGCGCACACTGAACCTTGGCTCCCGCGAAGTAGCAGTTGGTCAAGCAACGGTAGCCGTGGCCATGGGCTATGCTTACACGCGCGGCCCAAACAATGCAATGGGCCCCCGGAAGAACATGAAGGTGTGCAGCTTGCTGCTGCCTTCTTGTCGACAGCTGCCAATGCGCGAAGCGAGAATTGACTGAGCCTCACGACTGAGTGCGCGCAGGGGCCTGCGCGCACCGGGGTTGTCAACGGGCCCGCCCGTGCATCTGCGATTGGGATCCGTGGCGATGCCCGCAGGTTAGATTGGGGCCCGCCCGCAGGTCACACCAAATCAAGATGCCCTGGCGATGCCGGAAGTTGCAGCTACTTTCCCGTCTCCAACTGGGCAACTGTGCAGTGACGCAGCACACCAACTGCAGGGCTAAGCCAAAAGCGCATGTCTTGAACTTGGAACGTTTGCGGAGGCTGTCGCAGACCCTTTGCAGACTTGCGCGTGTCTCTTGCCTTGGTTGGCTCGGGCACCTTGCAGCCTGTAGCAGGGACTTGTCCCTTGCGGTACATCAGAGGCTCTTAGAGATGCGTGGCTTCTACACAGAGACCGCACCTTGCTATCTTAGGCTAGACAGTGGTGGGCGCCCTGGAGTCAAGTCCTTGTCGCTGCGGCTTTGGCTATGCGCAGCATCCGTTGCCAAACTGTGCGCTGCAGAGTCCCCAAACTGCAAACATAACCATGGCTCTGGCATGGCTGTTGCTCCGGCAATCCGTAGCTCCTGATGTCGGCTTTCAACTTGTTCGCGCTGCCTGACTTAAAACCCAGCCCAAAAGTGGCCCCAACACCAACCCAAAACAGGCCCAAAAACATAATTACCGCCAGAAAAAGATGCTGCGGGTGATGCCCAGCGCTTTTACGCTACATTCTACAGCCGCGTCCCCGTCATCGCAGGGTCGGCACGGGGTGGCACCGAAGTGCGCAGAAGGCGTGGTGTCAGGTGTTCCTTTCCGAAACCTGTCATCAACCTTGGAGTCCTCGCTCGTTGGGGGTAGGCGTTGGCTCGATTGCTGCTCGAGGTGTTCCAAAGTATGCCAATTGCAGAAGCGCAGTGTCGCATGCGCACAAGTGCAGCTTTAACACAGTGGGTCAGGCGCAACTTGATGGCTTCTGTCGTCTTGCCCGGTGGGACATCCAACCATTCTTGGCCCACTATTTTGTGAAGACTGCCTGCGATGCCTGCGCTTGAGCAGCAAGTGCCAAGCAGCTGCAGCTTTGATGGAAAGCGAGTAAGGCGGTGCGTGTGAGAACTGGAGTGCCCGCTTTTGTCGGCGGTTCAGGCTCTTGAGTTTTTGCTGAAGGGCCCAGAACTAGCTTTCAAACCCATACGGCGGTGCTCGTGCGTGACAGCCAGAACAGGTGGCCCAGAGCAGCGGAACAGCCCGGGTGTGTGAAGAGCAGCCCCGCTCGTGCAGGCAACTTTGCGCTGGCTTGGACCCTGCACATTTCCGGCAGCAGCAGTGGCAAAACATGTTCAACGCCTCTCAGCCTGCTTACCGAGAGCAACTTCTGTAGTAGCATTTCCCATGCAGTCTCGCAAGTCAGGTGCAATGTGCCAGATTCCATGTGGGTCTGTGTTTTTTTACCGTGTCAGTTCTTTAGTCTTCGTGGGAGGTGGGGCTTGGGCGAGCCATACCCCCGAATCATACCCCGAACCATACCCCCGAGCCATACCCCGAGTCATACCCCTTAAAAAACACAAAAAAAGAACTTGCAAGAACTATGGCATTTGCATGTGATCCATGGATAGCTGGTAGGGGGTTTAACTTCAAGTGAAGAAGGGGGTCTTGTCAAGAAACAGTGGTAGAGAGCTTGCCATGTGGACCGATGCCAGGGGGTAGGGACTCCGAGGTAATACCTGGTTCACTTGTGGTTCCTGGATCTATTCCTGAGTCTGCGATGCTTGCATGGTTGGGCGCTGATGTCATGGGGCCAAGTACAGTTGACATGTCCACTCACACACTCACTGGTTACTCGTAGGGGGCCATTTTGGCTTAAGTGGTGTTCCTTGACACTCGGTTACCCACCTCGGTCTCGGCTTGCTATTTTCAATGGAAAGTGCCAATGGATGGAGTTATAGAGCAATCCTGCGGATGTCCTGGTACTAGAGTTGTCTGTAGCATCCGTGGTGCTGTGGGGGGGTGCAGCTTGACGTAAGACGCTGGGACTTGCAGGGCGCTGTGGCGGGGGGTGCCGCTGCTGAGCTTGAAACTTGGAGCTTGCTTCCTGCAGTCTGTCCGACGCGGTGGAAACAGCTGTCTGTCCTGGGCCACTGTCGCAGTGAAACACAAGTTGTCTTTGTGCTCCTCGGGTACTCTTGGTGTTTTTCCGGTCGAAAAAATATGTTCCCCGATTCATACCCCCGATTCATACCCGATTCATACCCCGATTCATACCCTTCTGCTGCCATTTGCAGCCAAGAGCCTCTTGCGCTCTGGGCAGTACTAGCGAAGCTATGCCGCCCAAATCCTCAGTAGACACAAAATGAAGCACTCGCTGCTTTTTTCGCAGAAGTTCGCCAGAAGGTGGGTTCGGAAGGCTTACTGCGATGTATCAAGCGCGACACGGTACACCACCTGTGAGAGGCCCACTAGCCTCTGCGCGGCTGCCGTTTGAGGATGTCGCGCTGTCTTGCCCTTACGCTGGTTCGTGGCGGGCCTGACTGGGCACGCTTCCCCTTAAGCAACGCTTGCTTGGGTCTGTGAGCGCGCGGGTCGCTTGAACTCCAAGTGGAGGTGGCCATGACGTTCGCCTCAGGCAGTGGCTCTGCTAGCGCAGCAGCTTCGCTAACCTGGCAGCTGTCTAGTTCAGGCTACTCACAAGCGCCCCAGGCTGGCTTGTAGCAACTAAGCGGTCGAAATCTCACGGCTATCCAGTTGCCAGCGCACGGGAGCTTTGCAATGTCCAAAGCCACAAAGCAAGAGTTCAGAGGCGCGCGAGCCATACCCCGAATCATACCCCCGAGCCATACCCCGAACCATACCTGCGATTCATACCCCTTATACCAACCTCCCGGCACGGCCACGTCAAAAAAACACATACCCATGTGTACATGGCCCGTCTTCTACCTGGTGGCTGCCCACAACAGAAATCTACACGTTCCACGCGAGCCAAAGAGCTTCCCGTGGAAACTCGACAAATGTAGCGTGCAAAAGAGTGCCAGAGCCAATGGCTTGGCAAGGCATTGAAATGGCAGAGTGGGGCAAAGCCGGCCATCTGTTGATTGAGAATTTGTGATTGAAAACTCTGTGAGTTTGATTTCCTGTGTTTGACAATAGTTTCACGCTTGGAAGGGCAGGTTTTTGCTTTTAATTATTTGTCCAGGACAGGCTTTGCTCTCAGCCAGGGAACGACCCCTCTAAACCATTCCCTTTGGTTGATCTCAAACAGTTCATTCCCAAACCTTCTTGTGTCAGGGATTTTGGAGCAACCCTTGCAGGAAGGGTACACCTACCTCCGGACCTGTGGCAGATACGGGGACGAAACCTGGGTGCACAGGTCCTTCGGGCTGGATGCAACGTGACAGGTTTAGTTCCAGGTTGAAGTCTGAGTCTGACCCCATTTCTGTGTATGTGCGTGCGCGCTGTGGAAGGTATTTGTTTGGTTGTTTTACGTTTTGAAGGGGGGGACTCAAAGGACACCAACCATGTTGGGGGTTCGCCTATTGTGACATATTGTGACACAAACTCACCATGAGCTTTTAGACCACAACGAATACCAGTTTTTGGTTTTGACTCCAAGAGGTACAGGCCTTCTTGAATGGCCAGCCGCTGAACTCTACCTGCATGACACAGCGCGGGTTCCCGCGGCCCGCCACATTGGACCCCTGATGCAGACGACACCGCATTGTGCCGGAGGCTGGCGAGATTTGTCAGTGGAAGCCTCCGTTTTGGCGATTTCCGGAAACATGGAGGATTATTTCGCAGCGCTGCTTGGAGCCTCGCTCACCGAGCACAAGGGGCCAAGATTCTCCCCGCGCCTTGCCGCACAAGGAGATCCACTGAGAGGAGTAGTTCGCTTGGCTTTGGGCGTTGCGAGCTACAAAAGTTGCCATATGCCAAGCACGCTTATGTCTGAGGATTGTTTGTCCCCAACAAGTGCGGATATCTCGATGCGCGTGCATTGTGAGGGCCGTGGAGCTTGCCACGAGAGGCAGCCGCTGTGGCAAGTGGATTGTCCCTTGACCTGCGCCGGGGGCAGAAATCAACCCGGCATACTCCTTTGACTGCGGGGAGGCTTGGCAAGATATGCTGCAAAAAAGCGTTGCAAGCGCGGGCCGGGAACAAAAGAGGCCGTCGCTGAACCTACAATCTTTTGAGCTGATGCCTCAAATCTTCCAGAGATGGGGCTATTCTGGGGCATCATATGTCATTCAACGAGTTGCCAAGAAAGCGGGGCAGAAGCACGCTGGGCGGCTCCATGGAAAGATAGGGTTCTGAAGGCCAGGAAGAAACTGGCGCCTTTGCAATGGGAGTGACTTGCCAGGGTGAGTGGGTTTTAGGGGCTGGCTGCTTGGATGTGAGCTTTTGGGAAAGTCTGTCAGGTTTCGTTCGGCGCGCAGCCGGCTTTCCCAAAACGTCCGGCCCTTTTTTTTAAAGGGGACCCGCATGAACCGACAAGAGCGTGCGAAGACGTGACCTTCATTTTTGTTGGATTGTTTTTCTTGTTGGTGCTCAGTAGAAAATGAAACGAGCCTAGGGATTCCCTGAAAGGAAGCCATAGGGGATGGTTTACAGGGGCACTATGGGGCATTCCATTTCTCATTCCCTGCTTATCGAACCAGCAGTTGTTCAAGCAAAACAAAGCCAGCAAAGATTTTTAAGGGTGTCCACATTTGAGGCATCTACGACTACTGCGCCCTAGTGCCCGTGGTGACCTGTGCCGGCGGGTGCATGACCGACTGGCAGGGAAAACCTTTGACACTACAGAGCCACGTGCCTTGGCTAAAAAAGCGAGGCTCAGACCTCCAGGTTGTGCCTTTTCCTTCTTTATTGTTCAATTCTATTGGGCATGTTGCTTTCTTGGTTTCGATGACATCTGGAAGCACTCGTTGGCCTACTCTGGATCAAAAGATAGGTCACTTTTCTCATTTTTGCCCTTGACTATAATGATACGCGAAGAGCATATTTGACTCCTAGGTTTAGGGTTCAATGTCATGTACTTGCAGCCTTACAATGACAAAAGCACCTTGAGGTAGGAAACCAACAGGTTGACTGGGAGCAACCCTACAGCAGCCGTGTGATGTGGTTGACTCTCAAAACTTGGACCCCCAAATGGTTACTCCCCGGAAGCCAGAGACCGGATCAAGGATCCTAAGTGTCGTCTTCCCCTTAGAGTCCTTAGAGTAACAAATATGGGAACCACTGAGAGACCAAGCCAAGCCAGAAGCCAGGTTAACCAAGCCAAGGAGAGTCGGAGAGTAAAACGATGAAAACAAGGGGCGTGAGAAGCCCAATGGGGAGATGTTCAACATGCTTGAGACTGACCAGTGCTGCTTGCTTCGACAGGAGATTTCACGGGGGCGAGTGGTGGCTGCTGGCAACCAGGAGCTGTGGAAGGCAGCTGGAAGACGGGACCTCGGATGATGTGTTGTTGCACTTTGAGAAGTCACTTTTGGGGGGCCAGCTTCCCTTTACAGCACGGTTCAACGAGGGTAATTTCGAAGATTTTACTTGGTTACTTTGAACCCAATAGATCGGCCTCCTGAAGAAGTTTGTGACCTGGCCACTCTTCAAGTCGTTGCCAATGCACGGGGTTGCTTTGAACAAGCCGCCTGAACACGCCATCGCGCAATCACTGGAGTGTCGCCTGAGAGTGGACGCAATATGCTAAACTTCGTGCAAACACTCCCTTCCACCCCTGGGACCTTCAGTTTTTCTGTTCGAGAAATTGCGATACATACAGAGTGGAGCGGCATTTGCTTGGATGTATCTTGTTTAATGATCATGACTTTATTTGGCTTTAACGCGCAGCAAAAAGCACCCGTTCCAACTGGCTAGGCCCTTGTAGAGTGTTCAAAGAGCAGATGTTTATGCTTGAAGGAGGGGATCATGTTCAAGCCGCGCAAAGGCCAGGGTTAGTCTTCAGACTTTGTACAGATTGGTCACACCGCTTTAGGCGTGGGGTTCCTTAAAACTCTCCCCTGGAAGCCGACAGGACCCTCCCCCCGTCTAGGTGTGTCCCGAATGTTAAGACACGCCCAACTCTTTCTTGGAGTTTGCCAGATAGACCAAAATGTCGTAATTGGCTCTGCAGCGACTCAGGCGCAGGTGTGTCTATTTGGATTCTGTCCAGACCCTAACTGGCACCCAGTTCGGCCAGTCTGGCAGTGGCGTGGGCCTTCCTGTTCTACTAGACAGGTTCCCAAGAAGTTTGCGCATAGCATCGGAAAGGAGCTCATTTTGTTGGAATCCATTCACTCGTCCCCCAATCCACGCCAGCCGGAGGCCGCGGTGGCGGTACTCAACAAGAAGGTGCACCTGGAGATCTCCCCATCGCTGCTGCTAGGAGAGTCGTGGGGGACCTGTTTGCTTAGGAAAATCTGAATTTGCGGTCTGGATGGGTGAGAACTGGGGGGTTTGATCCCCTTCCTGTAGAGGGTAAATGGGAAGCCCAGACCTGCAAACCACCGGGCTCCAAACCACCAATTAAAGGAAAGCTGAGTTTCTGACACAGCCAACTCTAATCCTGTTGGTCTGGCCAACATTGATGCGTGTTATTGGTTTCATTTCTTGTTGTTTTGACCAAGCAAGGCCCAAGCAGTTCGAACTGTTCGGTCAGCTCAGCAGGCTTTCCCTTGTCTTTTCAAGCGTGCTAAATCCTTCCTTCCTGGAAGGCTCGGGATTACCAATTTAGAAAATCGTTGAACGATTCCAGTGTCCCCTGAACCAAAAGGGCAAACCAATGGTGGATTAGACATGTTCAAAGCAGTTGGCTCAAGTGTGGTGAACGCTGGCTCCACCTCGCACATCGCCCGCTTCTCGGTAGGAGTAGCTCTCGGCGCAACAGTCGCCTGCCTTCTGAGCGCGCGCAAGCGCTGACCCTTTTTTGGGCTTCGCGTGCGTGGTCTGAAAAGGGGGCGATCAGGGTTGGCTTCAAAATGTGGGGCCCAACCAGATGGGGCAAATCCTTCCAGGGAAAAGCACCAGTGGGTTGTTGAAACAATGAACAAACGAAAGGCCGAATTGCCAACCCTGTGGGATTCGGCTTTAGATTGCAGTTGCGTAGGCAGAACACATCACAAAGAGCATCAAAGAGTTTATGGCTCAATGCCCAGTCGTGCTCAGGTGGAAAGCTACAGGGTGACAAGTGCATATCAACAACAAGGCAAATACGTTAACACATGTGCATGGTGCCCAACAGCCACTTTGGGCTGAGGTGTCTTCCTTTACCGAGGATTCTTCATTTCAGGATCGGTGTCTTTTCAAAAGCTCTTGCTCAAAAAAACGAATAGGCGAGTGGTTTGGCATGTAGGCACGCTATGGCATTGCAAAAAAGGGGCCAAGAATAGTGAGGGTCCTGGTCGGTTTGGTTGGTTGATTTGGTTTTGTTTTGGCGTAGTTTGCGTTGGACATTATGTGGCTGGTTGGCTGCCTAGTTGCTTGGTTGCTTGGTTACCAGGTTTGGTTTGGCGAAATTGGGTTTTGTTTGGACATTTCCGCGGTGCTTGCTTGGTTGGTTTGGTTTAGTTGCTTCAGCGATTGCCAGGCCACTGGGGAGCTCTACGCACGCCTGGAGCGTGACCCCTCCCGGCCGCGCTACGCTGGGGGCCAAACCAAAACCGATGGATGGGAGCTGGGAGCATGGCCCAGACCTCCAGTGGCGCGCTTTTTCGCTTGTTTCAACAGGGGCTTGCCTGTAGAATCAACGGCGGGCCAAAGAAGAGTGTGCCCTTTGTTCTCCCATGGCCACTGTGGGCCTGGGGTTGGGTGTCTATTTTTGTTGGGGAATCCTATTTTGGTGGGCATTGGTGGGCTTTTAGGGGAAAACAATGGTTTTCGCTCCAGACCCACCTATTGAGCACACAGTGCACAGTCGTGGAAAGCCTATGTTCAGAGAAATGGTGATGTTCCACAATCATAGGAACCAAGGAAGGAAAGGAAAGGAAAGGAAAGGAAAGGAAAGGAAAGGGAAGGGAAGGGAAGGAAGGAAGGAAGGAAGGAAGGAAGGAAGGAAGGAAGTGGGACATTGATGTCTTGAAACATCGGATGCTACTTTGCCCATACGTTGACTGGATTGACGCGGTGCGCTTTGTTTTCACAATTCCTGAAAGCGAACCAACAGGATTGGGTAATGGTTTATTCCTTCCAGATCTCCCGTGCACCCACACTCCCAGAACACCCCACGTGCATGGGAGTTGCTTCGAGAATCTCTCAGCACCCTAAGTGTTGGTTTGGAATGACAGTTTGGAGGATATAGGGTGGTCGTTTAGTTTCAAGAGGCCTCTAATTACTAATGTAGGGCACGGTGAATCTCCGTTTGCCTCCCAGCCACCAACATGAAACCTGCCAGGGATATTCTTCACAAGGCCAGCAAACGGGATGCGTCAAAATATGGACACCCCCGAAATGGTGGTGTCCCTTTTGGTTTCCCGTATCAACCTGCCTCAAAATTATGTTTGGTTTTTCTATTAGGCGGTTCCCTTAGATACCTACAAAGCCAGATCAATGGATCCGGGTCGAAGACACCCACCCAGTGGATCCCAGCTACCCATATAGTCTGTAACCTGCCATTGTCTTTTTGGCTTTTCTATTGGGCGGTTCTCCTGGATACCTACAAAACCAGGTCAATGGATCCAGGTCAAAGGAGCCGTCGAAGCCTTTGCCAAGCCGAGGTGATGACCAAGCGCGGGATGAACCCAGTGCGCTGGGAGCTCGGCCACAGTGTTTTCTTCCGGACGCCTCCAAAAAACGCTACTGACACGTGTGCGTGTGTTCTCTTGGTTTCCTTTAATTCCCTTTCAAGCAGCATGACGCCATGGGCTGTTTTGCTTTATGGGTACGAGGTTTGGGGCCACTCGCTGTGTCCCTAAGTAATAAAGTAGTTATAGAGAGGCCTCCTATTGGCATCACACGGCTCGGTTTCCGCAATCTCTTGTGAACTTATGCAACCTTTCAAGGTTCAATAAGCACGCACCATACATGAACAACACTTTGGGGACAAAAGCTGAGGTAGCTATGACCATGACGTAATTTGGTTTCAAAACGCGCCCACGATTCCAAACAAATCGTTTAGGCGCGCATGACTTATATTTGATGGTTGGATGAGCTGTGTTAAAAAAAAAGAAAAGGTTCATTGGGGATGGTCCCACCCAAACCGGATGTTTACATCCCTTTGTTGTTGGGGCCGCAGACTAACCAACGCCTAACCTGCAAGGGTCACGTCGGGGTGCCGGCTTTTTCTCTCTGATTTGTGTTTCACAAGTTTCAAATCCAGAGCGATGGCAGCGATGTTTGCGCATTCTGGGTGATACGTGGACCCACCCGAAAGGACAACCCTGGTCTAGAACCCCACCTCACGCTTGAGAAACCCCTCAGAAAGGTCACAAGATCATTGAGATGACCTGCTCCCTTACCTCACAAGACCAACATGGGAATCGAGCCTGTAGAAAAGGCTGAATCCGAAGCAAAAGTCGGAGCTGGAATTAGCCCTAAACTCGTCATGGAGTTTTGGGCTTGTGGTGAGGGACCCACTCGCCCCGTGCAACCGGTGCCCAGCCCCCACGGATCTCCTCTTCGACGGTCTCTTCAAGGAGCACGCCGTTCTGGTCAGCGACGGCGTGCAGCCCGCCCCGGCCTTGGCTCGAGCGATTTGGCCAAAGGCACGTAGCCTCGCAACAATTCACATGGACCCCCGAGGTTTCGGGGGTCTCAAAGGGAAATGGCCGCGCCCTTGACCCTGTCAGGTTCCAGGATAATCATGTTTCTCGGTGGGAGGGTACTCAGAACTCCGAAGTCAGTCATGTTACGAGGCTTGAGCCAGAGTTCCTGGTTAAGCCCGTGTTTTTTGTCTGAGTTGTCAGTCGTCCCGCATGCTAGGCGTCAGCAAGCTTGGCAGCAGTTTGAGCACTGCAAGGGCCGGCTAGCACAGCACTTCAATCATGCAGCCATCCAACCCCCAATGCAAATCGAACTGCAAAAAACACTCTATTGAAAGAAAGACCCTTCTTCGAAGAAACACCATATCCCCTTTGTCACAATTTGCCCACCGTGTTTTCCAACTCTTGCACAAGGCGCCTCTTTGGCTTGCTTCCAGATCCGCCATATATAGACAGATATATATATATATATATTCACACGACCAACAACCAATAAGGGGAAGTGCCTCGTGGCCCAGTGCCTGCCGACGCCTTCCAAGTTCCAAGGAGCCAACGGCTGACGCTGAGCCCTGCAATATGTCCTTCGACCCGCAAGGCACGTACTACAGGCTGGACGACTCGGCACTTGGGCCCTTGGTTTCGTCCATTGACCTGCTGGATTTGTTTTCAGACCTCCTTTTGGAGGAACATGTTGCGTTTCCCACAAATCAACAACTCATGCTTTTAGGGGGCAATAGCCACCAAAAATCGGTTTGGCACCACAGGAATCCCTTTCGATCCCTTTGATTTCACGTCGAGTTCCCCTCAATGCTTCGCCGGCCACATGCTCCTTTTTGGATCTTGCACCATTGGGGAAGCTGCACGTTTCTCCTGGCAACCGCATTCTCAACTCGATCAGTTTGACGCCAGTCATTTACCCCGTTTGCAGGAATGTTGTCGTTTTGTGTTACCAGCTGCAACCCAGGCTCCTTACAGTTCAAGAAGTCATCGCTAAAATTTGCCTTCTCTTTGGAGGGCTTTTTCGGGTCCACGTATAGCCTGCATGGTTTCCCGGAAGATTTGCAGGGAAAATCGCCGGGTTTTTCAGTGGATTCTTGTCTAAGATCCTCACTTGTTCGGTCGCTGGTGGCTTCCCTGCCCTCAAACAACTAAAGGACAGAACACGGAGACAAGCAACAAGGACCCGCCCCCCAGACCGTTAAGGCCTCGTTCTTGCTGTTTGGCCCCAAGGCTGGTTAAGCCCCTGGCCCTGGGGCTAGATTCCATGTTACTGGACGAGAGGGTCCCAGAAACCTCTCCGAATGAAAGCCATTGTTGCCTTTGGGTTTCGATTCGGACATAAAAGCATGGGGTACTTGAATGGTTGTCAACCATGGTCCTGTGTCCGCCCTGTTTTCCAATCTTGAGCCATGGGGACAAAGCCTATACATGTGGGTTAAACATGGGTTTTGCATGACTTCCTGGGGAAATGACCAAACATAGTCCACGGTACTCCCACGGTATAATGCAAGCTTTGATTTGCGTTTCAGGATTTGCCTTATTCTCCCCAGTTGGTTGTTGCGGGGATCTATCACTTCAGGCTTGCCGTAGTTGGTGGTTCGGTGGGACTTGAATCCCAGCACGTTTCGCGATCAAACGACATGAGGAAGGTGCCCCCTAACATCCAAACCTCCAAATGGAGGGGGGTAAGGTGATCGCCGGCCACTTGTTTCATTTTTCCAGGCAACTTAAGCAACTGGACAATGGAGGACAGTTGTCAACCTCCTTGTGCTTAGCTTCTAGCCTTTACAGGGTGCGAGTTGAACTCAGGTCCTGAGTTGGACTTTCAACTTGTTGGGACCAATTTCGTGCAAAACAGAAGTTTGGGCGGTTTTTTGGGGTTCCCAGGGGGTGAGTGAGTAGGTTGCTTTGGTTTCGCGAGCCGCTGCCGCGCCAACGAGCTTCTGCGAGGCTGCGGGTGTCCTCCAACATGGACGTGGGCCTGATGATTTGCTGCCTCTTTTCGATCGACGCAGCTCGGCCAGAGAAAAAAGAGGCAACTGCCCCATGCTTCAATCTAGTGGGTTTTTGGTATGAGGGGGTGTTGGCCCCGAAAGTGAAGCCTCTGAAATGGAGCTCCCCCGGGCCATGCTGAGGAACTGGTGCGGCTGGGCGTGTAGCGCCAAAGAGGCCGCGCCTTTGGGGAGGAGATGCCGGCGAAGCTCAGGTTGCAGCTGGGGCGCCGGAGTGTTTTGGCAATGGGTATGGGTCAAA